ACACCCCACAAAGTGTCCCCCACACACACACCTCCAGCACACAACAGGCACCATACACAGTTATTAGAATATTATTGACTATATTCCCTACGCTGTATTCCACACCCCTCTGACTATTTTGTAACTGCTAATCTGTACTTCTCAATTCCTTCACCTTTTTCACCCAGTCCCCCGAACCCCCTCCACTTTGGCAAACATCAATCTGTTCTCTGCATCTGTGAGTCTGTTTCTGTTTCTGTTTATTCATTTATATTAAGGAAAACAAAATTTAACCTCTCTGTACCTGAATTCCTTTTTGTGTTGTAAGAAAATATCATTACTTGTCATGTTATGTCATCACAGAAATTTCAAAAGGGCTGATCAGCTACTGTTTCAAAGTCCCATGATTTCTTAAAGAAGGGCACAAGAGAAGTACTAATTATTATCAACAGCACCTTTACGNACTTGTCATGTTACGTCATCACAGAAATTTCAAAAGGGCTGATCAGCTACTGTTTCAAAGTCCCATGATTTCTTAAAGAAGGGCACAAGAGAAGTACTAATTATTATCAACAGCACCTTTACGCTACTATCGTCTGATCATTAGTGCACCTGGAAACAGAAGAAGGGCTCTGATTTCATACCATGTGATATGCAAACATATAATGCTATGGTCTCTCACCCCAGAGTTGCCTTTCAAATGATTAATGAAAAACTGTGAGTTTGATGCTAATATTACCCTTTCATGTCTTCCAAAGATGAAACAGAAGGAATAAAAGAAACAGATTCACCATTTTATGTACACACACTTCATATTTTCCACTTATCTTTGATGATTACTCAGCCCTAAAGCCTAAAAGCGAAGCATTCTCAAGAAATAAAATAGACAGGTGAGTATGATGAAAATCACTGAATAAAGTCGATATGATTTCTTTATTTTTATCTGCTCACTTTCAGAAGAAACTCAATTAAGAGTAAATTTCTTAGACAAGAGAGTTTGAAATTAGAGATATGTTAAAAAAAAAAAAAAGATTTAAAAAACACAAGGGATACTTGATACTAATTTCATCATTTCTTAGGAATATCAGTATGCATTTTCTTTCGCATCCCCCCCCACCAATTAATTATCAAGCAGTCTTCCACTTTTAACAATTAATTCATTTAATAGATAATTCTCAAGTACCCATTAATATATACAAAGGGCTGCTAGAAAGGTGGAAAGTTTGCACATATAACAATAAAGGGTTGCACAGGAAAAGTGCCCTCAGCATGTTAACCACAGCATTCTGGATTTTGAGGGGAAAAGTAAGTACTTTGAGCTGAGTTGATAAGGGAAGACTTGTTTTATTGTAGAAGAGATATCTGAGCTGAGTCTGGAAGACAGCTACAATGAAACAGAGAAAGAGCTTTCTAGATAGCCCCAAACACAAACCCCATGCACAGACACACCACTGTGAGCAATTCAGATCACATAAAAGCTTGTAAATAGTTCGAGATGTGGCGCTAAATCGTGGAAGGCCAAAGATAAGGCTAACAACTCTATGTTTAAGGAAAAACCTAGTAAAGGATTTGAGAGGAGTAGAGTTAGATTTTATTAATTCAGTCAATAAATATTTTTGAACCCCCATTTCTCTAAGCTGCATGGTACAGCAATAAATGAAAACGATGCAGAAAAAAACTCTCTTCCCTCATTCTGGTGGTGGGAAGGGTGGGGCAGACAAGGAACAAAATAAATAAATGACACAGTTATTTTAAAGTTAAATGCTACGTAAGCAATTACAAATATAGCAGAGAAACAATTATAAATAAGTTGATCAGTGTTTGATCAAGGGTTTGAAGGAGGTGAGGGAGCGAGCCATGTAGGCGTCTAGACGAACAGAATCCCAGGCAGAGGGGGTGCTAATCCAAAGGCAGCAAACATCAGCTTCAGTGAAATATGGGCCTATATCCTTTCACTCTTGCGATTACTTTTGAAAAGAAAGACTGGATATTTTACATCAAAATAAATTATTGAAAACATTCAAGCCACAAACTAAATATCTGAGGCTTATCATTCCACCAATCAGGATGAGTCACAGAACGTAGACTATAAGTGTATTTAATTCAAATACAAGCATTTATGACTAGATTAACTTAGCAAGCAGCCGAACAGGATCAAAGGCCAGTCCAAAATTACCAAGTCTGCCTGTAACCCACAGGGCAGCGTTTTCCGAACAAACTGCTGATGCACGGAGACAGTATCACTGGCGGCCGGCTGGCTCGGTGGCCCCGTAGTGATGAACGCCCTGCCGCAGAGGACAGCTGGGAGCTGGTCTCTGCTGCAAACTGCCCTGGAGTTATTAACATTGGAGGGAAAGTGACCTGGACAGTATGCAACGGGCCCCTTTTCACTCTCTCGCTACAGAGGCACATCTGTGGGCTGTTAATGACTCCAAAATGGATGAGCCAAACTGACGAGAAAGCAAAACATCTCTCAGGGAGAGGAAAAGGGAGAAGGAACACACACGCTCGTAAGACACCGTGTAAAACACAAGGGCTTGGGAAAGTCCTTGACAGGCCGTGAGGTGGCATACAAAGGTAAGCTCTCATTACTCGCTCTTCTGTTGCTTCCCTTGCTTCTCTTTATGTCTGAATATAAATTGTTAAGTCTTTCTAAACACATAAAAGTACCAGGACATTCACAGAGTCCGTGTGTGTGACTTTAGGAGGTGGCACTGCCGTTGCAATCTGGTAATTTCTGTTACGCTGGATGAATTCTTTTTTAAGTGACTTTATTGATTTCAGCGAGAAGAAGGGAGATGGGGAGAGAGAGAGAAACATTAATGATGAGAGTCATTGATCAGCTGCCTCCTGCATGCCCCCGACTGGGGATCGACCCCGAAACTTGGCATGTGCCCCAACAGGAAATCAAACCAAGACCTCCTGGATCATGGGTCGATGCTCAACTGCTGAGCCACAACGGCCGGCATGCTGGATGCATTTTTTACAAGGTATGCCCTGTAGGCTCTGTGCAGGGACTTAAATGTAAATCAGGCTCTCATATCTCGGCTCGCTGGGACTCTGTATGGGATCCTGTTGACTTTTCATGTCTAGATTTCTTGTCTCACTTGCCCTGGGATACCCAGGAAAGTCACACCTTAGTTCAAAGATATAATTCAATCATGGAATTCCTCAAACACATGTATTGGTATTACAGATCTTTCTACCTCTGTGCCTAGTATTGTATGATTCTTCAATAACCCTGACTAAGCTGAATGAGTTCTTTAGAGAGATGTCAAATAAAAGCAAGCACATTAAACAAAATTATCATTGTGTCAATCCATACATACGCTAGAGCCACCATTTATTTTATCTGGTCATATTTAGTGATTCCGAGGTTATTTGTCTTCAGAAATTTCAGAACTTTTGATATGTGCTTTAATAAATAAAAAAGTAGTGAATCAATAGGGGACCAGGACTTATTCTCTGGTTTAAGGGCAGATACAAGTCTAAGACTAATTGATCATTTGTTTGCTCTCAGGGTGGCATCGGTCAGCTATAACACAAAGGTAGTAAGGTGTTAAAAAGAAAGAATGACCAATGCTTATAAAATTGGGCCACATAACCCTAGAGATGAAATCCCCTTTAATACTCAGGTGAGTCACAGGGAGACCCTCTCTAAGTTGTGACCACTGTACACAAAGGACCTTGTTTGACATAAATATATACTCCAAGTAGGAGTGAGGGGCCATTTGGCACAAGGTGAAAACACTAATAAAGAAAGAAAAATGAGAAGTCATTAAAGGGAAAATTAAACAGTCTAGAGTTGATATAATTTCACTAGCAACCCACTGTGAGGAATATAGAGTGCAGTATTATAACATTTATAAAGAAAAATACCACTTTAGTATATGACTATCTACTAAAAAGCCTCACATTTAAACATATTTTCAAGTAATCTTTGCAATGTAACACCATCTTTTTATCCACAGGAAATCCATTCCCATACAACCCACCTATACAAGACCAAAGAGTATCCTACAGACCGCGCTACATTTTTTAGCCATGTTTTCTCCACGGCTAAAACAAACACAAAAACAGCTTTACTTTTTTTTAAACCCATGTCATATTTTTTCTTTTTAGCAAATTTATCAGGTTAACACCGATTAACAAAATTATATAGGTTTCAGATGCACAATTCTACAACACATCATCTGTACACTGTATCGTGTGTTCGCTTTTACATAAAATGTATCCCCAGATCCAGGCAGTATCCTAGGAAGCAGGTACATGGAATAAGGAATTAATCACTGCCTCAGTTTCGGATCATTGCACTCCTTAACTGTGCAACAAAACCCTCCACCTGTAGCCGCCAGGTCCTGAAGATTATGTGATAAAAAAAATTGTGCCTTTAACCAGTTTCCTTCTTAGTTTTTTGATCCCACACCACCCCACCCATTTGGCTAAGCTGACTAAACAACAAGGTCAATCAAATGCAACGTTTCTCTCTATTCAAATATAATGGAAATTTTGGCCATTCCACATTCAAAGAGCAAATACATTCTCACACTGACAACCACATTGCACTGGCTTCTCCTGAGAGCGCAGTGTGACAGATGCCTTGGCTATAATTGCCAATCAGCCTTCACATGGCAGCTGAAAACACAATGCATCACTTTGCTCTCCTTTGCTCTAAACACATCACAATCAAGGAACCTGAACAAGGAATGAGAAATTGGCATCGTTTCCAGAAGCTGTCACTCAATGGCACTTAAATACTATAATATATTTTTTGCTCATATTTTTATTTCCCTGTTTCAGAGACCCTCTGTCAAAGATCTGAACAAAAAACACCTACAGTTAAACGACATACATATAGATATTTGGAAAACATTTTATTACCAGGTCCAGAATCTTAATATAAGCACATTTAATTAAATACCACCACTACCATTCCCTTACCTAATTACACACCTGAGAGATAAAACAAGGTAAGAATGCTCCTCAGATTCCGGAACAGTGTTTGAAAGAATTGTACTCACATTTTGCAGGCAGGTCGTAGCCACATGTGATTTTTGCATGTCCAGTGTCACAGCCGTTCAGGGTACGACATTCAGCAAGCAAACAAGGGCCAGCTGCTCTGTGAATACAGCCATCCACTGGGGAGAGAGAAAGAAGTTACCTTAGTGTTGGCCTTTTGGAAATAAGTGCAAAACTTGAGATAGGGAGGGAAAAGGAACTCTGTTCCTGATTGGAAATCACCATAGCCCATGGGGAAAAAAACAAGGTGTCCAATCCCTCAAACACGATGTTTTTCCCTCCCCTGCTCTGTGTATGTGTATGTGTGTGGGGGGGGGGTGAGCAGAAATAGAAGGATTTTAGAAGTAGTATGCTATGAAACGTTAAAAAACAGATCCTCTTGAGGGGGAGGCCCTTATTGGAAGCATTTTGCAATTTCAATGGTATAATTATGCCCATCGCCTCCATTTCAAAGTATCAACTCCACGTCATTGAACATAAGGGTGGGAAGAAATGCTAACAATTCTGTCTCCGAGCTGGTAAGCGTTGCCCCCAAAACACCACAGGCTGCAGGCAAAAAATGGTCGAGAAGAAAGTGAGAAAGGCCCTCGAGAACACTTCACTTGCACTCACCTCAAGACTGAGACAGTAGAATTACAACTAATCAAAGCAAGAACCAGACCCCTGCGTTCCTCCTCCCCCGTCGGTATGGCACAGACACGATGGCGTTTCTGCAGGGTGTCTAGCAGGGCACCGGAGGATGGGCGAGGGTAGCTCGGGTCCTGATGAACACCCACAGGAGCACCCTCCCTCCACGGGGACTACAACAGCCGTGGCTGCTACTGCCCCCGCTCTGCTAAAGGCGCGGCTTCCGCCCTTCACCCCCGCAGGTCTCACCGGCTCTCCGGCCTCCCCATCCTGGTCCTGTTCACATCTGACCTTCACAGTGAGAGTCACCTTTTGAAAACACACACTGGATGCCACTGGAAATGAACACTGAATGGCTGGGCCAGGGGCGAAGGCACGGGGGGCGAGCTACAAGACCGCAGGCACGTAAGTCAGGGCACTGAGAACTTGGGCTCTTGGGGCTGAATGGGGCCCTTGGGCAGAAAGGAAACACAGGGTTGCAAAGGCGAGGGCAAAGAGGCAGAAAGAGGGAGGCACCATGATCCAGGGTGTGAAAGCAGACCAGGATGTTATGCTCTGAGGCCTCCCCCCTCTCCACAGTTCACGGCACCGCGTAATTGATCATTGCTTGTCATTACTATTATTTTCATTATTATTTTGACAGGGAGCTGGGTATCTGATGGGACATAAAACGTTTCTTATGCCCGAGTGGCTGCGCTACCACTGACTGGCGTGAAGACTCGCTTTGGCTAAATAAGCCCCCCGGGAAACAAGCTCGCCCAGCTTTACCAGATCACCGTTGCGCAGCTGTGACGCCTGAGGACCGGCCTGGGCTCCGAGGCCCTCACAGCACGAAATCGCTCCAGGCTCCTCTAAACCGCAGCGCTTCGGGAAGCCGACGCTGATCCAGACTCTATCTTTACCAGACACGTGATGCTCGAGCCTGAGCTTTCTCAGAAATCGGTTTCTATACAGCACTAGCCCCCTGGCCGTGTGTGGAGCTTAAATAATATGAATAAAACTGCATGAGAGGCACAGGCACAGTGCATAGTGGGGTGGGTGTATGTGCCCCATCGTGGTGGTTATTATCTTAACTACTTAAGTGGAAATTTTGTGGAAATTTTAAAATAACTCTTTTCCTTATTTGAGACTGAGGAATGTAAAGAAGCGAGTAGAACAGGATAACCATCCTTCACTCTGCCACCCGGGCAGCTCAGCGTTCCGACGCTCGGCTTGCGCCGGGGATGCGCACATACTCACAATTTCCTCTAACAAAAAGGCTTGATACATCCTGTCAAACTCTTTCACACAGCAGTTTTACTTTTTAAAATATATTCTACGAAACAACAGAAGTGCAAATGATGTAAGTACAAGACAGGCCGGAATTGTTCAGAATAGTGAACACTGGGAACTACTCCGATAGAGAGCTGGTTAAATACATCAAGGTCCGTTGATGCAGTGAACTACTATCCAGCTGTTCAAAATAACAGGGCGACTCTATATGTAAAGTCATGAACATGAAAAGATTTCTAAGAGAAATGCCGTTTAAAAGAGCATATGTGGTATAGTCACAATTTCATTTACAAAGTTATGCACACATTTATACACATATGTATGCATTCATATACATATACATATAGAGGTATTGGAAAAATATATGCCGAAATGTAAAAAGTGATTATGGCATAAGAAACAGAGGGTGAGACTATTAGGAGAAAAAAATGGGGCCCTAATTTCTCTCTGTTTGAATTTTTTTTTTTACAAGTACTTCAAGTATCTTAAAGTGAACACATTTTCTTGGCAAAGAGATAATATTTCTTAGCTTGAAATGGATAACTAAAATAGAATTCGCTGGCGTCCTTAATCACATGCTGCCACATATTGTCTACCTTGCTCAGACTGCAGCCTAATGCAGCCTGTAGGTATCTAATTCTCAAAATCGTCATGGTTATACCAGCATTTTCTGCTCAAAGTCTAGCTAAAGAGCTATTTCATAATAATGACTGCAGCTTAAATGCATTGGGTGCATCTATGTGCCAGGCGCTATAATGAGGACAGCCTTATGAGGTAGATACTAACTTGATTATCCCCATTTCATAGGAGCTTAGAAGAGGTTAGTAACTTGCCTACATTCACAAGATACTGGCAGTGTGATTCAAAACGTCAGGTTTGTCTCACGTAGCAACCATGCACTTAACCATTAAAATTCACTGCCTTTGGGAATTGAATCCAGGCAGTCTTACCTCAATTCCTGCATGTGGCAGGTTGAACCACTATATTATATTAATTTTTAATTCCCATCAATTATGTTTATGAGTCATATGAGCAGATTTTGCATTTTGGGTGCATTTGAACGAAAGCATATACTCAGGTAACCATGATGTCAATAAAGATACAAAATGTTTCCATCAACCCCAAAAGCACTCTTGTGCCCTTTCCATCCAATTTCCTTTCTTAGCACCCAGATGGACCTCGTGTTCTGATTTCGATCACCATACCTAACACATTGTTTGCAGGTAGTTTTTATCGTGTGCTCTACTACCAATAAACGTAAAACGTATACATACGTTTCCCCCATACAATGTGCTAAGTTTTGCCTGTTATATAACTTCAAACTTCATATAAGAGATGGGAAAGGAGGAGCTCACTTCTCTCACTCAGTAATTTTTTTAAGATTCATCTATGTTGTTGCATGTATTAGTACTTCATTTCTTTTTATTCCTAAGTAATATTCTATTGTTGAATATACTATAATTTCTTTATCCACTCATCTGTGTGACAGGATAGTAAGAAGCTAGGGAATTCTCTGGGCAAGTGGAAAAAGGAAAATGAGACAAAGAAGTTAAACAAGGTCAAACGGTTTGGGCAGCTTGGAGCCAGTTTGTGAATCACAAGACCTTATCTGCCCCAATCAAGGACAATTGAAAGCAAATGGTTAATACCTCTCCTCCCCAATGAAAGAACACATAGCTTAAATCACCCTAGAACTGCTAAGGCAGGAGGAGGGGAAGGGGGGAAAAAAGGGGGAGTTTATCTCACCCACTGAACAAAGATGTCAGCAGTCTTGGGGCTTGCCAAGATAAAATCGCCAGATGTTCTTGTAAATTATAGGGAAGACCACAACAAAGTAAAAGGGAGACCTTGAAGTATAGTCTGTTGCCCAAGATATCTGGCAGAAGAACCTTGAAACCTGTAAACAGAAAAGTATAAAGTTCCTAAACCTCCACCAGGTGTGATGCTCAGATTAGCTGAGTTACCTGCTTGTGCTGTATGACAAGTGTATTTTTAATAAATTTACGTGCTTTTCTCCCTTAAATTCACTTGCTTTGCTTCAATGCTGCTGTCTGTCACTTGTCTGAAATCTTTCTTACAAGACTTGACAAGAGCCGAGGAGAGAACAGCCCTCTCTCTCTGACTCAGGGGGCTGTCCACTAACAATCTGTAAATGGACACTGAAGTATTTATAATTTTTACCTACTATGAATAGATCTTCATATTTGTACAAGTCCTTTTGTGGTTATATTTTTTATATCCATCCAACAAATATCTATGAATAAAATTACTGAGTAAGTACATGTTTTACCTTTTAAAGAACTATCATACAGTTTTTCCAAGTGATTAAACAAATTTACATATACCCCCATCAATGCATAAAGTGTTCAAATTTTGGCAATCCTTTAGTCTTGTCAGCCTTTTTAATTTTAGCAATTACAGTGGATATAAAGGGGTATCTCATGATTTTGATTTGCATTTCCCTTATGATTAATGATGTTAAGTATCTCGCCAAGTGCTTATTGGACATTCATATATATTCTTTTTGGAAGTCTCTGTTCATGTCTTTGGCTCCTTTTCATTGTCTTTTTATTACTAAGTTGTGTTAAATCTGCTAGTTCCATCCAAATTTTTTTAAAATTTCAAATATTGTATTGTTTCAATTCTTGAAATTTTTTATTCGGTTATTTTTTTTATGTTTTAATTTATCTTTATTGTTAAAATATTACAAATNTTTTTTATTCGGCTATTTTTTTTATGTTTTAATTTATCTTTATTGTTAAAATATTACAAATTCCCCTCCTTTTCCTTGAATGATCCCCTCCACCCTCTACTCCCCCCTCCAGGCCTTCACCACACTATTGTCTATGTCCATGGGTTATACATATATGCATCTAAGTTCTTAGATAAACCTCTCCCCAACCAACCACCCACCCACCCATCCCTGCCTTCCCTCTAAGATTCTGAGGGAATTTGTTTGTTTGTTTGTTCCATGCTTCTATCTCTCTGGATCTATTTTGTTCATCAGTTTATTTTGTTCATGAGATTCCACATATGAGTAAGATCCTGTGATATTTGTCTTTCTCTAACAGGCTTATTTCACTTAGCATAATGTAATGCTCTCCAGATCCCACTGTGTTGTCTCAAAGGGTAAGGGATCCCCTTTTTTACAGCTGCATAGTATTCCATGGTATAAATGTCCAAGAAGATGCTTGATATGATTTCAATCTTCTTGAACTTG